CCTGGCCTTTTCTTTTTCTTTTTCTTTTTTTTGGTTGGGAGACTTTTAATGACTGCTTCTATTTCCTTAGGTGATATGGGTCTGTTTTATCTGGTACTGATTTAACTTTGATACCTGTTTACTGTCTAGAAAAATCATTCCATTCATCTAGATTTTTCCAGTTTTGTTGGGTATAAGTTTTTGTAGTAGGATGGGATGATTTTTTTGAATTTCCCTAAGTCTCCCTTTTCATTTCTGATTTTCTTAGATTGGATACTGTCTTGGTGCCCTTTAGTTAGTTTATCTAAGGGTTTATTTATCTTATAGATTTTCTCAAAGAACCAGCTCTTAGTTTTTGCTTTTGTTTTTTTTTTTTTTAGATAATTCTCTTTGTTTCTATTTGGTTGATTTCAGCCCTGAGTTTGATTACTTCCTGCAGTCTACTCCTCCTGCGTGTGTTTGTCTCTTTTTGTTCTAGAGCTTTCAGATGTGCTGTTAAGTTGCTTATGTAGGATCTTTCCAATTTCTTGATGAAGGAACTCAGTGCAAAGAATTGTCCTCTTAGTACTGCTTTCATCATTCTTCCATATAAATTTGGGTATGATGTACCTTCATTTTCATTATATTCTAAAAAGTCTTTAATTTATTTTCTTTATTTCTTCCCTGACCAAGTTATCATTGACTAGAGAGTTGTTCAGTTTCCATGAGTATGTGGGCTTTCTGTTGTTTTGTTGTTATTGAAGCCCAGCCTTAGTCCGTGGTGATTGGATAGGATGGATGGGATTATTTCAGGCTTCTTGTATCTGTTGAGGCTTGTTTTATGTATGAGTATGTGGTCAGTATTGGAGCAGGTACCATGAAGTGCTGAGAAGAAGGAATATTATTTTATTTTAGGGTGAAATGTTCTGTAGATATCCGTTAAGTCCATTTGGATAATAACTTCTGTTAGTTTTACTGTGTCTGTTTAGTTTCTGTTTCTGTGATCTATCCATTGGTGATAGTGGGGTGTTGAAGTCTCCCATTATTATTATGTGGGAATCAATGTGTGCTTTGAACTTTAGTAATGTTTCTTTTACAAATATGCATGCCCTTGCATTGGGACATAGATGTTCAGAATTGAGAGTTCATTTTGGTTGATTTTTCCTTTGGTGAGTATGATGTATCCTTCTCCACCTCGTTTGATAAATTTGATTGAAAGTTGATTTTATTTTATATTAGAATGGTTACTTCAGCTTGTTTCTTGGGACCATTTGCTTGGAAAAATTTTTTCCAGCCTTTAAGATTGAGGTAGTATCTGTATTTGTCACTGATGTATGTTTCTTGTTTGCAACAGAATGATGGGTTCTGATTAGATATCCAGTATGTTAGTCTATGTCTTTTTTACTGGGGAATTGAGTCCATTGATATTGAGAGATATTAAAAAACAATGATTGTTGGTTTCTGTTATTTTCTTTTGTTTTGTTTTGTTAGTGGCAGTATTAAGTTTGTGTGGTTCCCTTCTTTTGGGTTTTTGTGAGAAGACTAATTTCTTGTTTTTTTTCTTAGGTGTAGTTTCCCTCCTTGTGTTGGATGTTTTCTTATAATATCCTTCATAGGGTTGGATTAGTGGAAAGATATTGTTTAAATTGGTTTTGTCATGAATTATCTTGGTTTCTCCGACTATGGTGTTTGAGAGTTTTGATGAATATAGTAGCCTGGAATGGCATTTGTGTTCTCTTAAGGTCTGCATGGGATCTGTCTCTGTTGAGAAGCTTGGTGTAATTATGATAGGTCTGCCTTTATATGTTACTTGACCTTTTTCACTTATCTCTTTTTATATTCTTTCTTTGTTCTGTGTATTACTGTTTTGATTATTATGTGATAGGAGGACTTTCTTTTCTGGTCCAATTTATTTGGTGTTCTGTGGGCTTCTTGTATATTTATGACTATCTCTTTCTTTAGGTTACAAAAGTTTTCTTCTATGATTTTGTTGAAGATATTTCCTGACCCTTTGTATTGGGAATCTTCACTCTCTTCTATTCCTATTATTTTTATTTTTGGTATTTTCATTGTGTCCTGAATATCCTGGATGTTTTGGGTTAGGAGCTTCTTGAACTTTGTTAGAGTTCTTTAACTGTTGTGTCAATATCTTCTATGGTATCTTCTATACCTGAGATTTTCTATCTGTCTTTTGTATTCTGTTGGTTATGCTTGCATCTTTAACTCCTGGTCTTTTTCCTAGGTTTTCCATCTCTAGGGTTGCCTTCCTTTGTGATTTCTTTATTATTTCTATTTCAATTTTTCAATCCTGGAAGGTTTTGTCCAATTTCTTCTCCTGTTTAATTGTGTTCTCCTCTATTTCTTTAAGGGAGTTACTTATGTCCTCATTAAGATTCTCTATCATCTTCATCAGATGGGATTTTAGGGCAGAACCTTGATTTTCAGGTATGTTAGGGTATCCAGGGCTTGCTGTGGTGGGAGAACTGCATTTTGATGTTGTCAAAAGGCATTGGTTTCTGTAGCTTATGTTCTTGTACTTGCCTCTCACCATCTGGTTATCTCAGGTATTAACAGGTCTTGCTGACTCTGACTGAACCCTGTCCCTTTTGTGAGCCTGGTTATGATGGGCCTCCATCAGTCAGGCTGTTCCTGTCAGCATAGTTTTGATGGACCTCGTGGGAGTTGAGCTATTTCTGCATGTGGGCATAGAGATGGGGGCTGGAGCACCTGATCTCCATTGGGATGCAGTTGTGGACTGGAAGGATGATGTGTCTCTGGTGGGTAAGATAGGTCCTATATCTTTTGGGCCCCATGAGGGTCCCAGTTAGTCCAAATATTGGGGTGAGCGGTGTCCCACCTGTGAGCCTTGTTTGACAGACCTCCTGGAAGTCAAGATGGCTCTAGGTGTGGGAGGGCGTCTTGGGTGTAGGCTCTTCCCCTGGCCCAATTTTCAGTATTTTAAGCTGCTAGAAAGGGGGATAGAGGAACACAAGGTAAGCAAGAAAATAATGTGGTCTCCAGGATACAGTGCCTGCTGAAGGGATAGGAAAGATATATTATGGCTCCTGGAATATGGATTTAAACATTTTATCCATATTAAAAATTCAATACATAAAATAAAATTGAATCATTTTTGTGTTGATCTCATGTTATCAGGCATTATTTTTTTCCAGTGTATTAGAGTAGGGCTTTATATCACAGAAAAACATACTGAAGTAACATGTATATCTAAACTGTCAGTCATATGCAACGCTTACCCTTGCCTGACTTTGGGGACTTTGGGAGGGGTTTCATGTTTTCTAAAGGGCAGGAAGTGGATATAAATCTGGATACAGACATTTCAGCTTTGTAGGAAAAAGAAAGAAGACAAAAATAGGTGATGCCATTTTTTTTGAAAGATGCACATTGAACAAAGGAAAGATTAGGTTAAAAAGAATATATCGACCTGAGAGAGATCAGGATAGTCTTCACAATGGCATTGAGACTGGATATACTACAAAACAGTTGCAACAAGTGCCTTAGTCCACTGTAAGAATATGTAAATCCTGTTTTATTATAAGTATATTTTATAAATTTCTCATTTTTATCCTTGAATTTGCAAGCATGAATTCCTCATTATGGGATCCTGAATGAGTGGTATCAATTTGACTAGATTCAGTTCCCTTGTCCCCCAAAATGCAATATAACCTTATCTTCCTTGACTCAAGTTTTAAAAGAGGCTTTGTATGTATAAACAATAAATCTGTTATATACTAGATACAAAAGTTGTTATAGCTTGAATCATGATCTTGGCTTCTCTTTGTTCACAATTCCCTCCACTGCTTTCCCCAGAAGAGTAGTCTCACTGGTAATAAAAATCACAATTAGATATGTTTTCTGAAACAGCACCCACTGGGACAGCATAATCCTCTGAGAGAGAGGTTCTTTGGAGAGAAGCAGATATGGTTCATCATCTGTGGCTAAAGTGGAGGAAGGGAACTTCCTAGTATCATTCGGCATCACTGTGTGAAGAACTGGAGCTTCTGAGATGAACTGCAAGTCTTATTCTTGCAGAGCACTATTCTGAGGGTTGCCTATGTTATGACTATCGCAATGCAGAACTCAATCCCACTATGATCTTCTTCATGTAAGTGAAGACTCCTTTCTCCCCACAATAGTGACTAGTCTTACTCATACCTTGGTTCATAGAAAATCGGGGAGGGGGGGTAGGGAATGATGTTGAAAGGCTGATCATTGGTCTAACAGATACGTGTTGTACAACTGTTGCTGTACCCTATTCTTCATTCAGTGTTCAGCATGTTGGTACCATGAAAAATAATCCAGTTCCACTCAGCCTAATGGATTTGAAAAGGATAGAATGGCTTGAAGGGGGGATGACTGTATAGATACAATCAATTGATATTGAGCAAGATACTTAATCTACACTTGTTAAGTATAATTTTCCCATGTGTCTGAAAAGAGTAATCATTTTTTGAAGAAGCAATTCTAGATTATAACACAGCAAATCTGTTTTCTAGTCCTGCTTCTGTTAGACTTATAAAAAGTTATATCTCCTGACCTTTCTTGCCTTAACTACAAAGCATCCACAAATCTTTCTACTTCTACCATACATTTTAATAGGCAATGTACTTTAAATGTATATCCTTAGCTATAAAGTTAGGATGAATAAGACATAATGCACATGGTTTCAAACTTGTATATATGTAAAGTATGTGCATCTGTTACATAAAAGTACAACATATTTATAGTGTGGTAATAATAGAAGATGTATAACACATAGTTTGAGTGTGTAATATATATAATCATTTGTGCCTATATTATTTACATGTAGATAGGCATATAGGAATTTATGCAATACTTGCCTATCTATAACATACCTGAATGTAAGGGTAAACCTACAAGTTCTTGTGTTAAAACAGCACAAATTCTCTAAGGTTTAATTGCAGTCTAAATCAGACATTCTTTTGTGTGTATGTTTTCCAAAAGGCAGAAAGAAAAGAGAACCCATGTCACCTGCATCTAAAGAGGCTAGACATCAACTGCCATGGTGGAAGGAACCAACAGAATCACCAGGACTATAGTTCAGAATGGTAGCGAACAATGCCACCTGTTGGCGGGGTTTTGTCTTCTTGGGCTTCTCTAGCTTTGGGGAGCTTCAGCTTCTGCTGTTTGTCTTGTTCTTGTCTTTGTATCTTGTCACTATAACCAGCAATGTCTTCATTATCATAGTGATCAGGCTAGATAACCATCTGCACACGCCCATGTATCTCTTTCTTTCTTTCCTTTCCTTCTCCGAGACCTGTTACACATTGGGAATCATCCCAAGAATGCTCTCTGGTCTGGTTATGGGAGGACAGGCCATCTCCTTTATGGGTTGTGCTACACAGATGTTTTTCTCTGCTTCATGGGCTTGTACCAACTGCTTTCTCCTGTCTGTCATGGGATTTGACAGATACGTGGCCATCTGTGCCCCACTTCATTATGCCAGCCGTATGAATCCCACCGTCTGTGCCCAGCTAGTTGGCACCTCCTTCCTGAGTGGATACCTTTTTGGACTGGGGATGACTCTAGTCATTTTTCATCTCTCATTCTGCAGCTCTCATGAAATCCAGCACTTTTTCTGTGACACACCTCCAGTGCTGAGCCTCGCCTGTGGGGATACAAGACTAAGTGAGCTGGGAATCCTCATCCTCAGTCTGCTGGTCCTCTTGGTCTCTTTCTTCTTAATTAGTATCTCTTATGCCTATATTCTGATAGCAATCCTGAGAATCCCTTCTGCTGAGGGGCGGAGGAAAGCTTTTTCTACTTGTGCCTCACATCTCACAGTGGTTGTTATTCACTATGGCTGTGCCTCTTTCATGTACTTAAGACCCAAAGCCAGCTACTCTCTTGAGAGGGATCAGCTTATTGCTGTCACCTACACTGTGGCAACCCCTCTCCTTAATCCTATTGTTTATAGTCTACGGAATCGTGCTGTACAATCAGCTCTGAGAAATGCTTTCCGGGGGAGTTTATTAAGTAAAAGATAAAGACACTCTTCTCTGCATAAGCAAGTCCTAGACCAGGTTTAATACAACAGACTAGATATTTTAAAATTTTAGCAAAACTGCTGTAGCAAAACCTCACATCCCTCCTTTGCCTCTCATCCCATGATGCTTGGAAGGATGAAACAGGATTTTCTGCTCTCTTTACTGTGTTCAACCCACAGTGAGCTCTAAAGCTTAGTATTTACCTTTTGTATCATAGATACCACTCCCAATTATCAAAACAAATAGAGAAACAGGAACTTTCTTAATAATTATTGTTTTCCCAGCTGAGTGAAACAAGATGAAAGAATTTCAGAGCCTTTAAGTTCAAGGCTAGGATGATCTAGGAGTATTGTGGAGAATTTTCAGGTGATTATATAATGAGACTATTAGATCAATAATGCTCTCCCAAGGTCTGAAACTCAGCATGTAGTCTCGGAGATGCAAGGCAGGCAGAAGCACTCTTGCTGCTTTTGTTCCTCATCCCTCACCATATCTATTATCTTTCTGAGTTTGCTGTAGAGCTATTTATTTTGCCTGTTCCTTCTAACTACAGCATGTGTTTCATACATGCTTCTGGGTGTTGTTAGGGAGAAATAAAGAACTCCCTCAGTCCCCTGGCAGGAGTGCGAACACAAGCTCTTCAGCTAACTAGCTGTGCTAAGCTGGATAAGTTACTTAAGCTGTTTTCAGCTTCAATGCCCTCATTTGTGAAATAGTTATCATTACATACTTTTGTGTATGAAAAAAGGATTTACACACATATAAAGAATTTATCAATATACTTGAGTCATAGTCATTTTTAAATGAGTGTCACTTTTAATAATGTTGTGATGTTGCTTTTTAGTCCATGGAAAGGTTACTGTGGGTAAGGATCTGACAACTTCATGCCTAAGCTAGTATGTGTCCTTGTTCCTAAAGAATGGGTGGAACATGTCCTAAACTGACTGGGACCTTTAGAAAAGATAACAGAGACTGGGTGGTAAGAGACTGTGGATATGTTACAGAGCCACCTGAGTCGGTGAGAGAGAATGAAAGTCTTACAAATGAGAAATGTGTTAGCATGGGGATTTTTTTTGTTGTTGAAGGTGGTCATCAGTTGAACACCTCACTTCAATATGATCCTTTTGCAGAGCAGGAGACAGGGCACAATAAATGCAGCAGAAAGATATCTGTAGGCTGATTTAGAAATATTACCTCATGAGTAGAGAGGATAGAGAGTTTCAGCAGAGAGAAATAAGGATCAAGGAGACAAGGAACGAATCCTAGCCATTAACTTAAGCTGAAGAAAAATGAAGGCTTAGAAAAGCTAAGCTCTAGATCCACCAGACTTATCAAGGAGATGGAAGTATAAGTAACCTGAGAAAGGTAAGCTGATAGCACAATTTTATTCAATTCATACTGATTTTTGAAGGTCTATTATATCATAACCCCTCAATTGGAAAGATTTTGATTGTTTATAACTAATTTAGACACTGGTAAACATTTTAGGGGTATGTTCTGATTTTTATATTCCACTGTAGTTAATGGCTTAAGGTAAATGTTGTAAAAAAAATTACACATCATTTACAAATATCTTTATTTGTAGCCATAATTATTTTAACTGTCTCGTGTGACAATTTTTCCTCAAAGATTGAGGAGCGGTTAATTTCTACTCAAGTAAAAATACTAGACTTAAGACAAAACAAGGAGCAAGATCCCTGAGCAATAGGTTATCTGTATGAAAGGCTGAGTTTCACACAAGGCAACAAAGTTACCTAAGAAAATACCTGTCCTGAAAACACCTAGGTATAACACCACCACAGATTTTTGGATTTTTCCTTAAATTATGAACAATTTTACCAACTTCAGAGAAGATAGAAATGAATAAAGCATCATTTTATCATATTAAAATGTAAGAGAGTATTCAGAGATTTAGGGAATAAGAGGGGACCCTAATATGCCAGAAGGGAAGAAGAGGGGACCCTGATATGCCAGAATCATATTATTCGGAGGGTAGAAGCATTTACTATAATGGTGAAATATCAAAACAGGACAAAAAGAAAACAAGTATTGTGTTATCTTTATGTATCTTTGCTTCATAGAATAAGATAAAATTAAAAACATCTCAAACTGTAAGAATTTACTCTCTCCCAAAAACTACAAATTGTAAATCACCTTGGATTTTACTTATCTACTTTATTATTGTACCTCTTCACAGTATAATTAACTGCTTATATTTAGTAATAATATGGTTCCCGAAATATAAAAGCATAATTTTAGTTAAATTTCCCTTTTAAAAAGAAATACTTCTTTTATAGTCAGAATGCAGCAAAATCCCAAAGGTGTGCAGAACACACACACACACACACACACACACACACATATAAACACACAAATTAAAATCTTGGCATCCTAGGTAGAGACTAATTACTTAATCCTATAGCCTTTTTTAACGCCCCCCCACCATACACTTGATAAATTTTTAAATCCTCCAATAAATGTAACACACAAACACACATACACACACAAACACACAACAGCAGCAGCAGCAGCAGAAGCATCTTTTTTTCCACACTTGCTTGTGCCTCTTATTCTTCATCACTTGCTGCCACACTATGATCTTTTATGATGCATAAGAATCTGCTTATCAATTGCCAAAGAATGAATTGGTGAAGCCAACATAGTCATAGCCAGCAGGTTGGCTCCGACCCCGTGGGTCCATATATTGCTGCATATGTATGGTGCAGAATGACACTTGTTCTGGGGTTAGAGCCTGAAAAGAATGAAAAGAGAAAGACAGAGTTACAGAAATCCAACACTTGTTGTTTTTGTGGGTCTCCCTATCTGTCCAAACACAGATGGAGAGCCATCAGGAGAAGCAGCCTTCTTCCTATCACTTTGAGTTTTTATAAATTTTTTCCATCCTATAAATAAAAAGAGTTCAAATTTATTCCAGAGTCTTTTTTAAATATCCCTTTCCTTAGATCTTTTTGAGTAAAATCAAACCGAAACAAGTACATATCTTATGCATCATTATGGCATTTCAAGCACAATTTCATTTTACTGATCTTTCAATGCACCTCCCCCAATTGTTTTTTTTTTTTACCATCTCCCTTTCTGTCCTATACATTGCCATCCCCAGAAGTCCTCTGTCCATTTTACATGTCACATGTGTTTTGTTAGTTCCAACGTCCCCTTCAAACCCTCTTTTTCTCTCTTGTGGTTCTCTTTTCTAGTTTCTTTGCCTGTACTCACCTAAATACATGCACACAAACATCATTACCTAGGGTCCCAGCAAAGGACAGAATGTATAGTATATGGCTTTCTGAGTCCCAGAAGTAATTTTTAGATTTGCAATTTTCCTGCAAGTTTCATGTTTTTCCTTATCGCATAATAAAACCCATATGTATAAGCTTCACTTTTTATTATTCAACACTTGACAAACATCTAGAAATAAGCTCTTTTTATTTCTTCAATTTGTCTTATTAAGTAGAAATGGCAACAAACTGCTTAAAACTTGAGTTTCCGGTTTTGAACATACTGTAACAGTAGAGAACCACTCGACATTTTGAGTCTGGGGCTGGAGTAAGGCAAATGATTTACTGAAACAAGGGATACCTTGTAAATGATGAAGCCTGAGGCAATACAGTGGGTATATGGGTGGGTGCTACTGGTGGAGAGGTGAGACCAAGATGACCCAAATCAGGATTACAGTGTCAGAACAGGAGAAGCAACAGTGGGAACCCTACCTGTTTCATGTCCTCCTTGGTAATATAGGCCTTGCCTTCTGCCAGGGCTTGGAATGCACTCTCTATGTCATCACTGGTCTTGATATTCTCTGACTCTTTGTCAATCAGGAATGATGTGTAGTCCTCCAGTGAGACATATCCTTTCCTGTATGGAAAGCAGAGCAGGAACTGTGCCTTCTGAAGACAAGAAAAGTATATCCCTTCCATCCTGTACAGTATCTGAGTGGCCCAGGGAAACCAGATCCTCTGAAGTTCTCTTTCAAATCGGCTATCTGTCACTTTGGTATTTTGGTTCTGCTCTCTACTCTGACCCCTTGTCACTATCTTATAGACAAATACTCAGTCTCTTAGACTTTAGATTTGTCCCCATGAGTCATCATCCGTGTTTCTTTGGAATTTTCCATAAGTGTAAGAGCCAAAATAATAATCCCTTATCTTCCTCCATCTTTAAAATTAGAATTCGTTCTGTACAGTAACTTGAGCTGTGCATGGTTCTGTCACACCTACCATAGCACACAAGAATCTACTTTTGACTGTGATCTTTGAATTACTAATTTCTCCTTAAGGGCTCACAGACGTGAGTAAGAGTGGATTCTTCTTTCAAGTCCCTCCCTCAGAAACATCTGAAATTCACAGAAGGAACAGTTGCCATCTGAAAAAACTGTAGAGCTTGGGACTGATTTGGGGACAGTGCCCTTTACTTCTGAGCCAACCTTAAAAAAATAGAGCTTGCCAATTGTCTTATTTGCCTATTTTTAAGTAAGTTAACTTTTTATTCCATGGATGACTTCCCTCTGTGTTCATCTCTGTTGGGAGCCGACTCCTAGCTGAAAGTGGCTATCATCTTTACAGCCATCTCGAGCCATATACCCTGACAAGAGACTTGTTTCAACAGCCTGCAATAGCTGAGCGCACTCTGATGAACATCTTGTTACACTGTTTAGTGCCCCCAGCTGCAAGGTGCTCCTGGTATCCATGGCTACAAGGCACGTGACATAGTGGCTTCAGTTGAGATTGTCCACGAGGGGAAGTCACATGGTAAAGGGTATAAATACCCAGGATTTCCTTTCTATGTGTGGGAGGTGTCAGGAGACTGAAGGAGTGAGGAGAATATAGAAGAAGAGAAGAGAATAAAGAAGAGACTTGAAGAGACTCCACCGGACTCTGTCTTGTATCTATCTTTTGCGTCTCTTGCCCCTTTTTCCCCCTTCCTCCGTCCCCACTCTCTCTCTTGCTAGACCCTGACCTGCAGACTGGAGCAGCAGAACCGGCCGGCCTTTACAAAGTAACAGAACCTGACGGCCGTTACAAAAGAAATGGCCGTTACACATCTCCAGTTAAGCCTCAAGCCATAA